GTGCATGATGTTTTTTTCACAATATCTTCAATGTTTGGTCGAATGTGTGATAAGCAGACGATCATTTCTTCTTCAGTTGAGCGTAGTCTTTCTCGATTCTTATTTTTGATGTTATTTAGGGTTGAGAAGCCTAATTAACATAAATAAGAAGTAGAAAATTGCAATAAAACTGATAAAGCGTTTTTAGCTAATGTGGGATATTCCTTTCCTATTGAAATTCAAAATGTCTCAATGCCTAGAGTCGAATGTTTTATTTTGAGTCCTCGATCACTAGAAATGGTGATCACTTCTTCTTCTTCCTCTTCGTCTTCTTCTTCTTTTTCTTTTTTATTCCTCCTGCTCCTCTTCTTCTAGTTCCTCCTCCTCTTCTTCTTCTTACACATAACTGATGTCCAATATTAAAAAAAACATTTATGAAGGAATTTTTGGATCTAATCATACTTTTCTATTCTCAATGACGGAAATTAATAGTCGATGTTTTCGTTGAGCACTTTCAGATTACTACCACACACACATATATATATATATATATATATATATATATATATATATATATATATATATATATATATATATATATATATATACCGTTGCAATATTTCACGACATGCTTAAGGGATTCGCGCGGCACCTAATGGCATATTTTCCAGTTATTACCCTACATCAGTGTATCTCAACATTTTTAAGCAAGGGTACACTTAGAAGAAAATGAAAATATTACAGCAGATTTAGTAAAATTTTTAAAGGGTATATATTTAAATATTATGTAATAAAACCATACATTTTTTTAAAAAATCACACATAAATATGAACTTAATTTATTTCAATGTTTCTATTCAATTATTTGTGCAGTTTATTTAGTGCGAAAACTGCCTGGTGTTTTTTCACAATATCTTCAATGTTTGATTGAAATTGCGATAAGCACACCTTCATTTTTTCTTCAGTTAATCACAGTCATTCTCGCTTCTTTTTTTATGTTATTTAGGGTTGAGAAGCCCAATTCACATAAATAAGAAGTAGAAAATTGCAATAAAACTTATAAAGCCTTTTTTAGCTAATATGGGATATTTCTTTTGTATTGAAATCCAGAATGTATCAATGGCTACCGTCGAATGTTTTATTTTGTCGAAGGTATTCTCAGCATTTTCAATAGAACTATCAATAATTGAAATTGCTTTTTTTATTACTAAAGACATTGTTATAAATTAATACAGAGTTTCTCAACCTTTTTAAGCAACAGCACACCTAGAAAAAACGAAAATATCATAGAACACTTAACAACATTTTTAAAGGGTATACGTTTCAATGTGACGAAATAAAACCATCTATTAAAAAAAAAATACACTCACACAAATATAAACTTACTTTATTTCAATGTTTCTATTCAATTATTTGTGCAATTTATTTAGTGTGAAACATTTTCCTTGTGTTTTTTTCCCGATTTCTTCAATGTTTTGTCAAATGTAGGATAAACAGACTCTCATTTCTTCTTCAGCTGAGCGCAGTCTTTCTCGCTTCTTATTTTTGAGGGAAAGAAGACCAGAGGAAATCCGAGCGTGACGTACTTGATGACCTTCAACAAATGGATGGTGGAACAGGTTTTGGGAGAAATACCAAAAAGACAGAACTACAAGGGACAGGAAGAGGTGGAGGCCTATAATCGCCTACGTCATGAAATAATTCTTTTCACTTTTCTTCGATTATGTTTAAATACTTGGTTTTAATATTCATTTTTTAAAAAGTATTTGTATTTCTTTAATTTAATATTTTAAAATTTTCCTTTATTTGAATGAATAAATAAATATTCAACATTTTACCCCTCATTAACAAAAATGGCTTTATGCGTTTTATTGCTACTTATTTATGTGAATTAGGCTCCTCAACCATCACCCTAAATTATCAAGAGGATACTTTCCCGATCACTACTTTTTTAAGCATTACGCCCCGAACAAGGCGTGAAGCCACTAGGATGCAGGGGGTTGCAGAAGATTTGGAGCAAGAGCAGATAGGAGTGATAGAAGAAAGGATGAGGAGAAGGATAGTGGGTAGATCAAGGTAACTGGAGATGTCGATTGATATTACATTTGAATAGTTGGAGATTATAGCTCTCAGGGAAACTATAATTGGGAAGGGTGTTCCACTGGCGAGAGGTGCAAGGTATGAAGCTATTGGAGTAGAAGAGACGGCTACATTTAAAAGTTTCTACAGTGTAAGGGTGGGAGCGGGATGCCAGCCGCGTAGGGCGCTTGAATTCATGGAGTCTGGGAACCAGTGAAAGCAGCTCATCGGGGCAATTACCATGGAATTATTTGTAGAAAAGACAGAGAGAGGCGACGGAGCGTCTGTGAGAGAGTGGCTGTAGACGAGATGCCAGATCAGGGCCAATAATTTTACATATCCGTCTCTGGATCTTGTCAAGAGCTCCGAGGTAAACAGAAGGTGCCCCAGACCATATGTGGTAGCAATACTCCATGCAAGGGTGAATGGTTGATTTGTATATTTGAAGTATCGATTCCGGGGAGAAAAATTTCCTGGCACGGCACAGAGAGCCAACTTTCCTCGCGGTGGACGATGCAATTGACTCAATGTATTTGTTCCATCTCAGGTCAGCAGTCAACGTGAGACCAAGCAGACGCAAGGAGTTGCTCTCAAGAAGTTGACTATCAGACATTCTAATGGGGGGCAGGGAAGGCTCTCTATGGTGATTAATAGAGTTTAGTTTTTAAAGCGTTAAAGTTGACCAGCCAATTCTTGCCCCAGTTAACAACCGATTGGAGGTCCATTTCAAGACGAGCGGCCAGGTTAGTTTTGTCACCGACACTAGATTTGTTTTTGAGGCAGGAGTAAATTGTAGTGTCGTCCGCGTAGATGCCAACTTGGGAATCTATGGCGTCAGGAAGGTCATTGATGAAAATAAGGAAAAGAGTGGGGCCAAGGATGGAGCCTTGGGCAACACCTGCTTTCGTGGGATAGGAACTGGAGGAGAATCCGTTGAGACCGTTATCTTCCCCACATATCTACATAAAATTTTGCTTCTTGCTCTAAAACCCTCTGTCTTGAGTGGCTCAGGGTCCTCGCTGTAAAAAAAATAATAAAAGGATACAAATAAAATGATTAGAAATCGACAAGGTTTACATTTCACCAAAGCAGACGTTAATTTTTTTATCCCTCTGTGTGTGATTTCATTTGCTGTACAAAGATTATCCTGCCACTGAAGGTGACTCTGATACTTGAATGTGAATTTCTTTGAATTTCATAGTTGTGTTATCATATCCTGCTATGGAATCAGAAAATAACTTTGAGTGAAATTAACAATAAGTTTATTGCAATTGAGAAGCCTTGAAAAAGAATGCAGTTGAAAGGGAAGTTTTATTAATAACTAGCAGTAGAGCCCGGCGTTGCCCGGGGATGTAACAGTAAGAGATAGATCAAGTATCGATCATCATAAAGACTGAAAAATAAAAATTGACAAAGATTATTGTTTAAGGTTGACGGACCGCATGTCTTAATTAGTTTTTTTTTTTTTGTTTTGTTTTTTTTGTTTTGTTTTTTGGGGTTTTTTTTAACGAATTGGTCAAACCCAAACTCAAACAAAAACATTGTTTTCAATCGTTATGAGTCTATCGATTGAATAGAATTTTATTACAAACAATTGTCTTGTAAATGGAATTTTTAAAGCATTCTAAATGTAAAAATAAAGAAAAAAATGTGCAAGACAATAAGAAACACTACCTGCCAAAAAAAAAGTGAAGTTTTGTTGAAATTGGTTGAAAAATGTAGGAAATCCGATCCAATATATAAACGTACAGACACAATCTGCGTTTTATAATAAGTAAGATGCTTTATCCTGCCACTGATGGAAACTCTGACACCTGAATAATAGTCTGTTTGAATTTCATAGTTGTGTTGTCATATTCTGCAATGGCAACAGAAAACAACAGTGAAATTAACAATAAGGTTATTTCAATTGAGAAACCTTGAAAAAGAATGCAATTGAAAACTGACGTAATATTAATAATGCTTTATTCTGCCACTAAATTTGACTCTGATCCCTGAACATTAGTATGTTTGAATTTAATAGATGTGATGTCATATCCTGCTATGGCAACAGAAAACAGCTTTCAGTGAATTTAACAATAAGGTTATTTCAATTGAGAAGCCTTGAAAAAGAATACAATGAAAAAAAAATTAATATTAATAACGCTTTATGATGCCAACGAAGGTGACACTGATCCTTGAAAAATAGTGTGTTTGAATTTAATAGATGTGTTGTCATATCCTGCTATGGTAACAGAAAACACTCTTGAGTGAAATTAACAATTAGATATTGTAATTGAGACGCCTTGAAAAAGAATGCAGTGGAGAAGCAATTAATATAAATAATGCAGAATGTGAAATATTTGGATATTGAATATGCTAAAGGTTAATATGATGAGAGTGTCATCATCTCTTCTATCTTCTCTTTATCTACATTTTCTTTTGCTCAGTAAGTTCAAAAAGCGTCTCTGATATATCTTTTGACTTTGTCCATTCGTGAAATTGAAAGGGAATGGTCTGTTATTTATTCTTGGTAATGGCAGGGTGTATTGCACGTGGTAACTTACTAACATGAAGAATTAATTTATTATTATTACTGATTACTACTCCTCAAACTATTTAAAATACTTTTATATATTTGGAATTATCGGCGCTAATATTCCAAAAGAGTGAAAGAAAATAAAACTCTAATCAAGTAAAACAGATAAAAAAGTTGATAACAAAAAAAAAATATATTAATAATACGAATGACACGATCGACATTGAAAAGATCTAACGTAAACATATAGAGTGATGTATGTTAAAGAAAAAAATATCTTCTGTTTTTTAGCTGAAAACTGTGAGCGTTTAGAGACTGTCCGCCATTTTTATTCCTGTGGTATTTGTTAATAGTCGTCTTCGCTTGTTGTATATCCCTTTGTCGTTGTCATCACAGCCCTTTTCACTCGCAATAAATTACCGACATGGCGCACAACTCATCAGCCGGTCGGCTGCTATTTCATTACGGCGAATTAGACGCTGAGCTGAAATTACTTCCAAGGTAAGAAAATTGGTAATAATGATAAATTATAGATTATCAAACATGATTTTAGCAGGGCAGCCATTTTGCGAAACACATTACGGCAAATCGGACTATGTCGTCGGAGGTTTTTTTTTTTTTTAATTTTCTTTTTTTTCTTTTTATTATTTTGCCCAAATTACAAGACAGTAAATACCCTTAGGCATGAATTCATTAGAAAGTTTGCCTATTTTGTTGTTTCTATCTTTCATTTTTTTTTAAATCCATTGTTTGCTTTGCCTTTTTGTATGTTTGTTCATTCATTGATTTTTACAGGCAGTTTCCTTCTTTTTTTACATTTGGATTTATAAATACTTTTCAGAATTTTGGCCTCATTTATTATGACACATGCAGTGATATATGCTTGTGCCAATTAATATATATATATATATATATATATATATATATATATATATATATATATATGAGGTTTGAATATAAAAAGCTTTCCATCAATATATGTATGCATAGGCGTGCGTGTGTGTGTGTGATGTATTTTTATATATTTAAGATAGTTTAAATTATTCACAATAACTCATGCATCGATATATGTTCATACGAATTAATATATAAAAATATATGTGTGTGTGTGTGGTGTGTTTATCTTAACAAATACATACACCCATACAAAAGCATATACGTGATTATATATGTATAGACATATGAACATTAAAATAAAAGCACGCATATACAGATATTACAAACCAAACATACGCATATATCCTGATCTATCTATCTATCTATCTATCTATCTATCTATCTATCTATCTATCTATCTATCTATCTATCTATCACATTATGTTCAATGTCTATCTATCTATCTATATATATATATATATATATATATATATATATATATATATATATATCACATTCTGTCCAGTATCTATCTATCTGTCAAAAACATTCTGTTCTATATCTATCTATCTATTCCTATCTATCTATCTATCTATCTATCTATCTATCTATCTATCACATTCTGTCCAGTATCTATCTATCTGTCTAAAACATTATGTTATCTATCTATCTATCTGTCTATCTATCTATCTATCATCTATCTATCTATCTATCTATCTATCACATTCTGTTCAATATTCATCTATCTATATCTATCTATCTATATATATATATATATATATATATATATATATATATATATATCACATTCTGTTCAATATCTATCTATCTATCTATCTATTCATCTATCTATCTATCTATCTATCACATTCTGTTCAATATCTATCTATCTATCTATCTATCTATCTATCTATCTATATATATATATATATATATATATATATATATATATATATATATATCACATTCTGTCCAGTATCTATCCATCTGTCTAAAAACATTCTGTTCTATATCTATCTATTCATTCATCTATCTATCTATCTATCTATCACATTCTGTTCAATATCTATCTATATATATATATATATATATATATATATATATATATATATATATATATATCATTCTGTTCAGTATCTATCTACCACATTCTATTCAATCTCTCTATCTCTCCCCCTCTCTATCTATCTATCTATCTATCTATCTATGTATATAACACATTCTGTTCAATAATTGTCGTATTCTGTTCAATATCTATCTTTTTTTGTGTTCATCCTCACATAAAGATTTATCGATATATTTATATTTATGATTATTGGTGTTTCTACACGCAGGTACACACAAACATATATACATATGTTTTTTATAGAGAAATATAGAAACCACATCACATATATATATATATGTGTGTGTGTCTGTATCTGTGTGCGTGCGTGTGTGTGGAAAAACACAGAATCCAGAAAAGTTTGAAGAATATTCTGGACTGTTTATCGTATTTTCAATGCATATTGCCAACATGGAAATCAGAAGTACAGACCTAGAAATAGGTAAATATTTTACTTCGAAATTAATTCTGAAAAATTATATGAACATGTTCCATCAATTAATTTCAGAAAAGTCTCTATGAATATTTTACTTTGGAGCCATTTTGAAAATGAGATGAAAATCGACTTTAAATTCACTGCAGAAAAACTAAGAGAATGTATAAATAAATCACAACAAAAACAAAAAAATTTCTAAAGTAAAATACAGAATAAATATTAACTGCTTTTTTTTTTCTTTACAAAAGTCACACAAATTCATTCTTTTATTTTATCATATGCGAAACGCCAACTTAGGAGAAAAGTACTAACGATTTATTATTCAAGCATAGACAAAAATATACACACACAAACAGACACATACATATATATATATATATATATATATATATATATATATATATATATATATATATAACTATACTCGTTTCGAAAAACCCTCGAATTTCTGATTTGCCAATAATCAAATCAATCTCGAAGGAAAAAAGGTTTTAAAAAAGAAAGAGCTACAAACATGAAAGTCTGTCGAAAAAAATCGCACAGATGCAGGCTTGAAGCTAAAAGAAAAAACCCGACACGAGTAAACAACTAACTAACAAAAGAGCTCAATACAACCGTAGAGCAGACCTAGATAAACCTAGTGAGCCAGACAAACCGACCAGTCTGGCTCACTAGGTTTATCTATCTATCTATATCTATCTATCTATATATATATATATATATATATATATATATATATATATATATATATATATATATATTATAAATTAATTGATTTAAAATATGGTTATTTTCGCTACACAGTTCCAACCATGTTTCAAAAATAGAAGCTAAAAACCCTAATTTTATTTTTGCAATTAAATTAAAAGCATTAGTTCCGTTTCATCTTCAAGCGAAAACTGTGTAACGAAAATAACAATATTTTAAATCAATTAATTTATAATATTAATGCTCTGTAAATTTACATTGAGCACTATTTTGTAAAAATAAAATATCTATAAGAACACCGGATTTTATATCTTACTGTTCTTTCTTTTTATTTATATACATATATATATATATATAAATTTCTTTTTGATATGATGAAACTTGGTAATGGCGTAACACTTTTTTTGTACAAGTTTCAAAGAAAGTTTTCTACCCTCCGTGTGTATATATATATATATTTATGTTATAAAATTTTTAAATAAATAATTATATATATATATATATATATATATATATATATATATATAATAAATAGACCACTTTAAGGTTGCATGTAATAAATTATTTCACCACAGCCCTTCTAAAGGACTGCGGATCATCAGACTTTACATCCAAACAAAAAATGAAAAAGAAAATTTTCTTTTCATTTTTCATTTCAACTTTTGGAAGTAAAGTCTGATGATCCAGAGCCCTGTGAAAGGGGTTGTGGTGAAATAACTTATTACATGGAACCTTAAAGTGGTCTGTTTTTATTCAAACATATTTGCTCTGAATTTACATTGAGCTCTCTGGATTTTATCCTTAGGTTCCTTAGGTTTACCTAGTACGGATAAACTAGTTTTATATATATATATATATATATATATATATATATATATATATATTAATTGATTTAAAATATGATTTTTTTTTCGCTACACAGTTCTAACCATGTTTCAAAAATGGAAGCTAAAAGCCAATGAATTTTTTAATTTATATATATATATATATATATATATATATATATATACCGGGAGTAATAGGAAAATTCCCCAAATCGTGTTAAAGAAAAGAATGAATTTGTGTGACTTTTGCAAAAAAAAAAAGTTAATATATATATATATATGTATATATATATATATATATACCGGGTGTAACACAAAGATGATAGAATCCAGATCGGGCTAAATGTCCACGACAGAGTAAGATTATAATATAAAAGGCTCAAACACTAATATTCCATGTTTATAATTTATTACATTGTTATCGGGAGTGATTTATGCATCTGAAAATAATTCATATTTATCTGTCTCTCACTCATTTAAACCGTTATTTAACTCCTCTCTTTAAAACTCCTCTCTGTCAAATTTGAATCCCCACCTTCATCTTTAGGCCTTTCCTTTTCTTATTTCTTCAGTTACACCCTCTCTCTAGAGCTTTCAACCATTTCCGTCTCACATTTGTTTCCCACTCTCACACATACACTCTAACTGAAATTTTGTTTTTCATACCCGGGGTTATATTTTCCGATTTCTTTTACACGGGTTCTACGGGAAATTTTGGCTGAACCTACTGATGCCCCACGTTAAACCCAGTCGCACCTGATCGCGTTGGGAGGTTAGTAAATATACTAGCTGGAATCTTTTACAGCTGTGCTGGTCAAACTCCCTGCATTCGAGCAGAGAGGAACCCGGATGAAGCTATGCCAAAGGACAGAGTCTCGTCTGGAGACAGACCCGATTCCTTTTATGCGGGGTCTACGGGGATTTTTTGGCCGAACTTACGGTTTCGAGAACCCTACATTAAATTCAGCCTTGTTCCGCATGTGACTGCGTAGGACTGTTGCTTGATATCGTCTATCTGGAATCTTTTTCAGCTGTGCTGGTCGAACTCTCTGTCTTCGGGCTGAGAGGAACCCGGACGTGGCTATGCTGAAGGGCAGAGTCTCGATCGGGGAGGTAGCCAGACCCAATCCCGTTTATGTGGGGTTACGGGTAATTTTTGGCCGGGACTACGGACTCGGATTGCTCCACATTAAATTCGGCCTTGTGCCACATCCTACCTTATGGTGAGGCTGGTAAATATTGTCTAGATTGGATCTGTTACTTAACTTTTAGTTTTTGTCGAACTATCTGCCTTCTGGCAGAGAGGAACCCGGACGTGGCTATGCTGAAGGACAGAGTCTCGTTCGGGGAGGTAGAACCCGTTTATGCGAGGTTACGGGGGATTTTTGGCCGAGCCTACGAGCTCACATCGCCCCACATTAAATTCAGTCTTGTGCCACATCCTATCTCGTAAACCTGGTAAATATTTCTAGCTGGGATCTGTTGAGTGCAACTCAGACTTACGCAAGAATCACCGGCCTTCCAATAATAGCACACACTACTGGATTGACTTTCGACGACCTTGTACATATCTGTTACCTTTATTCTTATTGTACTGGTTTTTTACAATAAATTTTTACTTATTTTATCCATTTTTCAAGTATATATTCCTATTAGCACAGAATATAACAGTATCAATAATTTGACATTATTCTCCTGATCTATATCAATAAAGTTAGGTATTCTTGCTTAAATGATACAATCTGTCGGGATTGAGAAATTATAACCCTAATGTCTTCAGCAAATATTTTTTTACCAGAGCTCATATTGCAATTTTTACTGTTATCATTGCATGTTTTTACCATTGCAATTTTTGTTGTTATTATTGTTTTTCTCTGGCACTCCTTATTACTGGTCCCCATATTGTATTTATTTCTATGCTTGGTCGGCTCAGGAGATTTTTGTGGCCTAGCATATGTGCTGATTCCTTAAGTTTACGAATTTTCCAATGGTGTTCCCTGTCTATGATCTCAACCTGATCCTACAGAGGGCGGTGATCTCCCTTCTCTCTCCATATGTGGTCAGCCACGCCTGATTTTTCTACTTCCCCTCGTGTTACAGCTTTCTGGTGTTCTTGAAGCCTTACCTTAAAGGGGGGCTGTCTCTCCTTTATATTCCTTTCCGCAGCTGCACGGGATAGCGTACAGTCTTTAGTCATGTTCTCCTCTATGGGGGGAGGTCTTACACGGGAGAGATATCTGCGAAGTGTCGTCAAGTTTTTGAAGGTTGTCTTGATGTTATACGGACCGCAGCACTGGTAAAAGATGGTTGCTGAAGACATTAGGTTTATAATACCCAGAAATTCATACACAGATGTTGAGTTAAAGAGAGATAACTGAGATGTCCCGAAGAGGAATGGCATGTGGAACTAAAATAATCTAGCCAGGTTGACGAAATAAACGGTACAGTTCGAAATTCCAATCACCTGAAGATGGCCGGAGCGTACAGCCACCGAAACGTCGTGAATATGACAATAACACTATTTACATTATTCAGACTATTGTCCTCATCTTTGTTGTCATATTTATTACAACGTTTCAAGAACACATGGCACAATGGATAAAGGCGTTGGTTAGATCAAGTGACAGGATTCAAAGAGTGTGAGTTCAATACCCAGTTAATGCAGTGGAGAACTTTCAGAGGGAAATTAACAGGAGATAACTGATAACTGACATCCATGAAACATGGAACGTGGAACTAGAACAGTCTACCCAGTGAGCGAAATAAAGGGTTCAGTTCGACATTCGGAGCGTACAACGGCCGAAACGTTGTAATAAATATGGCGACAAAGATGGACAATAGTTCGAATAATGTAAATAGTGTACATAATACCTCATCTCAGAAATATAGACAGAAACTGAAAGGCCGAAACGTTGTAATAAATATGGCGACAAAGATGGACAATAGTCCGAATAATGTAAATAGTGTACATAATACCTAATCTCAGAAATATAGACAGATACTGAAAGGCCGAAACGTTGTGATAAATATGGCAACAAAGATGAGGACAATAGGCCGAATAATGTAAATAGTGTACATAATACCTCATCTCAGAAATATAGACAGATACTGAAAGGCCGAAACGTTGTAATAAAT